GGAGAAAAGACATCAGAACACGTCCACTGGCGAAACAACAAAACCGGGAATTGATTCGGGGTTCAACAGAACGCGACTGCGGCGTTATATCGTGCAGGTAGAGATAGGGCATCTGGGAATCTGTTCGGGCATCGGACACAGAATGGGACAACTGAAGTTATATAATTTTACCTTCGTTGTGCGGCTATGGTGGAGGGATATCGAGCTAGGAAGAGCGAAGAGCGAAGAGCGAACCGAACACAATGTGGCAACTGCGGACGGAGCGAAGAGTGAGCGGGCTATGGCGGAAGGTGGTGGGGGCTGAAGACCAAATACCAGAACGCGCGCAGAAGCGATAGCGCGACTTGATCTGTGGAGCGACAACAAAAGGGATAACTCGAGGGCTGCAACGCCTTTTATACTTTGCTGCAGCAGGCCTCGCGTCGGGATCAAGGTGGGGCCGAATTGATTCGCATATCTCACCCTTGGGCCCATAAAACGCCATCCAGGTGGGGCCGAATCGATTCGCATATCGCACCCCTGGGCCCATACAACGCCAGGGCCTATAAACAGTAAGGGGTACTGAAACTTGTCAGCCATCGATCAACAATTTTCAACCGCGCAGATGAACGGAGCCACTGATATAGCAGTGGCACCAAAATCTCCGTCAACTCCGGTGTGCAATGATGTGACAGTTCCCGAAAACAAGGGGCAGACAATGTCATTTTCGCAGTTTTAATCTGCACCGTCGATCGGCATGATCTGACACACGAGGTCAGGCGCAAAAATCTGTAAGGTGCGGCAATTGGTTGTGCACCGAGGCGGTTCATTGCGCGCCGACGTTAGTCGACGGTTTATTTCCCGTCGAGGCGCGGCGATCCGTTGTGCGTCGAGGTCAAAAACACCGGAAATCTATAAGTTCCGGTGTCGCTGTCATTCAGACATTTTGCAAATGTCAACGACGTTGGATATCGATGCTCTTAACCACGCACCATCGTCATCGATGCGCTTAGCTCATCGCCATCGCCAACGCTCGCCATGCACCATCGCCATCGATGCGCTAAGCTCATCGCCATCGCGACGCAAAGCTATATCCCCCATCGCAGCTGTTGCGCTCGCCTGACCATCGCAGCGCTGACAATCGCCATCGCTCTCATCGCAGCGCTGGCCATCGTCGCGCCATCGCAACGCTGGTTCCATAGCTGCACCATCGTTATCGCTGCCATCGGAATGCTGCTTCCATCGCAACGCTGGTTCCATCGTTGCGCCATCGTTATCGTTGCCATCGCAACGCTGTTTCCATCGCAACGCTGTTTCCATCGCTGCGCCATCTCTCAATTGGTGCGTCATCGCTATGGCTGTTCCATCGCTGCGCCATCGATCTTCACCGGTGCGCCATCGCCATCGCTGTTCCATCGCTGCTGCATCGCTTCGCCATCGCTCTCCACCAGTGCGCCATCGCTATCGCTGTTCCATTGTTGCTATCGCTGCATTGTAACGCGTTCCATCGCTGCGCCATCGCTCCGCAGCGCTGCGCGATTTCTTTCTCCATCGCCGCACGATCTCCCTCCATCGCTGAGTGATCACTGTCCATCTCACTCCATCACTGCGCGATCTCTCTCGACCACTGGGCAACCTCCATCCCTGCGCCAGACGCTCTCCATCACTCCTGCGCGATCCCGCCATCGCCATTGTATTGTTGTTTCAGGTCGTCGTCGGTGCAGCCGCCCACCACTGCGGAATCGCACGAAACAAGTGACAGGTATGCTTAACGAAGGTTTAACTCGATGGAACTGATGTTGTGCAAAAACAAATCTTCGTCATCGATGTGCTTTCTCTCTCCATCGCTACGGCATTGCTAACCCTTGTTGCGCGTCCTCTCTCCATCTCTCTCCACCGGTGTGCGATCTCTACCGACCTTTCGCCATCTATCTCCATCGCTGCGCTATCTTTCCTAATCTATCTCCTTCGTCATCTATCTCCATCGCTACGCTATGTTTTCTAATCTATGGCCTTCGTCATATATGTCAATCGCTGCGCTATCTTTCGTAGTCTATCTCCATCGTCACCTATCTGCTTTGGTGCGCCATCTTTCTCCATCGGTGCGCAATCTCTCTCTCTCACTGCGGCACATCTCCCAACCAGTTCGCGATCTCTTTCCCTTCCTGCGCCTTCTACCTTCTTCCCCGGAATATACAACGCACGTTCATTATAATTGTCTTTACACTGAAAGATGACCCGAATTTAGCTGTAATGACCGGACGTTGTATTCGGGGGAAGACTGTGACTCCATCCATCTCTCTTGGTGCGCCATCTCTCTCAATCGGTGCGCCATCTCTCTCCGTGTATTTTCATCGATGCGCCGTCTGCCCATCGCTTCGCAATCTTTCTCCATCTTAAAAAATAGTACGCAATCTTTCATTGATGCACCGTCTGCCCTGCGAATAAATTGTGACGATCTGTGGCTCGTACTACACGCAGAACAAGCCGAAAACAACTTGCTCTTGTACCCGTGGTTTCGTAATGGAAATGCTCGTTTACAAGTGCGAATTTATTCGCTCT